ACATAACTTTAATGCTATCTGTACAAGTTTTACTGCGCACGCAACATAACGCTATCTCGATAAAGGAAGAAAAAAGAGGGAATGACGTGAACATGCCGGACATCAGTTCCGAGCAGCAAGAGTTAGTTGATCTGTGTCAGTCCGAGAAGTTAGAAATTCGAGGAGCAGGAAGCTCCAAGTATTTATATGGTTTGGGGTCAGTTTGAAATGTTCCAATATTGAGGGAACTAGCCAGTGACTGGGAAGATATCAACGTATTTCGGCATTACTATTAACTCCTTCACCTAGCGAGAAGTCTCGGTTCGGTTATCAGCTAGATATCATAACAGAATATCGGTTTATAGAACTTGTAATGAAATTGTAAAGAATGCGAATCGAGTTTATTGTCAAATAATTGTATAGATAACAGATTAATTTTAAAGCGTGCGAAGAGGGAGAATACGCAGAAAAATGAGAGGAAGTTGTACAATAAGCGTAAACTAATTCCTTTGTACAAGATAAATAGCATTGTTTTATAAATAAATGAATAGTCCATTATAAGGAAATTCATCAATTAATTCAGTGTAGAATCTAGAGAATTGTGTGAAATTTTGGTTATTCAGTTTGAGTTCATGATAAAAATTTGGCCAAATGAACCCCTGGCCCATCTTTACCGAAACAAGGAGCTTTAACAAATGTAGTGGTAAAAGTATCAGAGGCTCACTGAAGTCTTGGTGTTAAAGTAAGACAACACCTGGCGTTTAAACGATTATTGTGGAGATTTATTCAGAATAGATTAAGCATATTTGTGTAATCGAGTCACACCGATGAAACATAAGTTAGCAGCAAATTTCTTTTTAATAGAATCAGAGAAAGTTAAAGTTTAGGGAGGAATGCAGCACAGAATCAGTAAGATTTCAGATATTGCCTCTTCCAGTATAATTGTTTTACCTAAAAGACGTCAAAGTAACCGTAGTGGGCCTCACCTACACCGAATACGTTAGGAGTCCTTAGGTTCATTGAGCTCCATTAGTAGCAGAGACCTAGATATTCCCGAAAACCACTTATGTATTATTACAATATATGTATTTTCCTTCGAGCGAAGCAAATACTTACTTATTCCTGATTTGATCTTGGAGTTAATATAGCCAATCTGAGTTTAGCATTAAGTTAAAAATAGATTTTTCTTTATTCTTAATAGGATAGCAATATACATAAATTTTATCCTCCGAACATAATTTGATTTAAATTAAAATCAGACACTAACTATTTTTTTTTAATATATTTGTTGTTGCCTTATCGTTGAGTAAGAAGACGTTAGCCTCAAATAGTATTATATTGTTCTTATAGTTGTTTTTATTGCAAAAATGGGCTTGTAAATCTCAATTAATTAATAACTATATATGATTAAAGTAAATAAATCATCGGTATTTCAAAAGGTTCATCTTCAACATTAAACATGCAATTACTTGCTTCTTGTATTTCTAAGTTTTTGAAAAAATGAACTTGCACAAAAAGACAAAGCAAAAATCGTTTGCAAGCATTATAAGATCGATGCGACTTTTTTTATAGGAGAGAAATTGCCACTATTCTAACTTTGAAACAGTAAACGAACTTCAATTCTGGACGGTGACGTAATTGAACATACAATGCTGACATCTACTAATTTTCTCAGGCAAGATTTGTTCTTTAGTTAAATGTAGAATCTCAAAAGATGTAAGAATTGACTATTCCTTCACAATTAACATTATAATTATTCTTTTCAATGCTAAAAAATGGTAATAAAAAGACTGTCATCATTATTCGTAATATTCCTTTAAATTTCTTTCCCAGTGGGAAGTTATTGTAATGGGTCCAATTTTGCGAATCCCAAATTTTGACAACTCTTCACGTTTCAAGGTACCCAGAGTCAAGAAAAAAGTTTTTAAGTGAATGTCTGTGTATGTACGTACGTTCGTATATGCATTTGGAATTATTTGTCGCCTCAATTATCTCGAAAGTAAAAAATTATATCGACGTAGGACAAATTTCATTTAATGCTTGATTACGTAACTAAGAACTGATTAGGTTTTCAACAAAATCAGTCTAGTGATTGTTTATGTCGATTCAAGAACCAAAGGAAATGATCAACTAGCTAAATTTTGTCATTCCTTCTACTGGGAAGTTGGTCCTCTGAACCTTTTAGGTCGCACCCAGACCATTAGACAGCACTGATGTTTATATGAGAATAATCATTTAAATTCAGAAAAACGCAAACTGTTAAGAACTTCAACTTTATAAATCCGAGCTATTAACCTTAGATCACCCAACATGGTTCCAACGCCACACATTTAGTCATGATGCCATTTCCATCATTCTTATGAACACGTATAGAGGTCTATTATACACTTTAAGAAAAATATAAATAAATCTAGTGCATCGAACAGTTTTGTGGATTGGATCTAAAGAAAAAACAGGGCACCTCAAAGTTCATCCTGAACGTAAAATTTGTGAAATAGTTACAGACCATTGTAACGAAGTTACGTTTTTAGACCGATATTATAGAAAATTAATTTGTCTAATGGATCGATAATCAGAAAAATAGATTTATCGACCCATGAAAAGTAGCGCGAAATTTAAATTATTGGCAAAGCCTATTAAAACCATGTATTAGAGAGGGAGGGTCATAAGAAATATAATGGTGGTGGGGGATAGCAAAGGGGGCGGAGTCAAGCTGTATAAGTAGGGCCGATTGTTCTGCAGTCGACACATTTATCTCCGAAATGTTAGACTGAAGAGATCAGCGAGAGCTGTAGCTCTGGCTAAAAGGTTGTAGCCTTTTAGTGACCTGGAGAGTTGGAGCTTTCCAGCCTTAAGACCTGAAGGGTTGTAGCCACGGAGGGTTGTGGCCTTTCGGCAAGGAGTTGGTGCTCTTGGTTTTAGGTAGCAATCGAGAGTTGAAGCTTACGATTAAGTCGGTCGAGAAGTCGTAGCTTCTCGCTGACGAGTTGAAGCTGAAAGTTGGAATTAGATTTTAATTTGTGTTTAATGAAATTACTTTGTAACATATCCGCCATAGAATTCTGGGCCATAAAATTTGATAATTTTTAAATTGGGGCGGGATTTTCTTTTTTTCTTGGGGATTCACCTTAAGGAAGGTAAGTGATAAAGTTAAAGTACCAGTATTGGCTCTCCTCACTTCTTTAACTCTTCATAATATTTAATTCATGATTGGCAACCACTGTAAAAGCTATTAGTAACTGTTATTTGTACACTTTTAGTATAATCTAAAACTGGTATTTTATCGTATTTTGAATATATCTTATATTCTAAATGTTATCATAAAAAAATAATAGAACATTCGCAGCAGACATCAAAGTAGACGCAGACAATACAAGTTAAGGTTATTAACCTGAATGATTAATCAGCAATGTCCGAGTTAAAATACACGTTATATTTTTTCGTAAGCGTCTGTGATTTTTTGTTCTGCTACAAAAATTAAAACTTCAATGTAACTTATAAAGTAAATTATATCTAAACGTCCGTGTTGCAGATACACCGCATATTTACATAGACACCGAATTGGTTGATGCATTTAATGGTGCATTATACTCCATTTTTCATAAATTGATAATAATATAAATATGATTAAAATTGAAAAAATTTTTTTATCAACGTGCATTATGTGTCACGGAAATTTAATAATATTTTTACAATATTTGTTCAGGTGCAAAAGACGTATTTTCGTTAAACCAGTTTTGGCGAATCGAAGTTGAAAATTTAAGAATAGTAAGGTTTAAAAAGATTGTACATCAAACATCAGTTTTATCAATTAACAGAAAACTGCAATAAGGATTTTATCTTATTCATATGTTTTATATGTATATTTCTTCCACAAGATAGCTGCAGACAAACAACTATTTTAAATTACACAGGTTTTCTAGAACCTAGACTTGTAAAACGTGTTTGAAATCGAACCTTGCTAGCCTTCTTTCATTTTAGTGCAAACATTTATTTCCAAGCTTTGCATATGTGTTAACTCTACCTAGTAGATGATTCATTATTATTACCATTATTGTAAGTCCTGATTTTACATAGTAACTAGCTCAATGTTGTGACTTCGTGCTTTGTAATGGTATTGAAAAAACTCTTCTTTATTGAAATGAACAACTCAGATGTATGGCATAGATCCCTTTTATCATTGTTCATAACAAATTTAATTATTATAAACACTTTACATAAACAAAAAGTAGTCTATAATATTTCCGACAATGCCCTCTACATGTCTGCAAAATTTTATTGCCATCGGATTGCCCGTTTCAGAAATTATCCCGGCCCCAGACAGACTGACACCGGAAATTTATGTAGCGGTATAGATAGATGGAGCAATAATCATAATGCGAAGGTATAATATCGAGACATGCTTAGTAAAAGATTTTTACGAAGTACTCACCATCCTTATTTTTCCTGTAGGTTGATAGATACCCGTGATTGGAGTCGGCCTATTTTTATCACGATTACGTATAAATCAATATCACTATAGATACGATTGAGCTATGAGACGTTGGCAAGGGCTAATTTACCATATTGTAAATACTCACTAAAACGGAAACTGATTCTTTATATAAGTAATTTGTTATTGATGTCGTTGTTACCCGATATTATTACTACATGGTTTAATTAACAAAAATATTGTATAAGAACAATAAATGGGAATATTCTGGATCGATTTGAATACATATTTGTGCATATTTTTTGTTTTTTTACAATTTTAAGGAAGGTTAAAAATATCATAACAATCTACTCATGACCTTGACGCGCACCAAATCAATTTTACATAAGGTTAAAAAAGGAGTATGCTAGAGGAATGTGAACATTATTTTGTGCGTCTGAAGATCCATTATTGAATGATCGTACAAAATGAGATCGTACAGACAAGATTTCGATGAACGATATCTAGACTGAAGTCGGTAACAGACTGACTATACTCCTATATAAAATCTTTGTTGGTTAGACTTATCTTCAGTTTGAACGAATATTTCCTTCGATGAACGTTGAGCACAACCTTGTGGTAAGTGGATTGGATTATTTTTACATTAATTTTTTTTTGTGTGCAAAGTAACAATACATGAAAATAGAATTCAATGTCATGAATTCAACTTTGCTGATAGTACTTCATACTTTGTTACAGAATATGTCCGTTTCAAAATTACATCGACTCGAAAAAGAAAAAATGCATGTGCAAGCATGTATAACTCCTTATCATTTCGATTACAACAGTGAGTATTCTCTTTTTATTATGTATGCGTATAATGTCTACAATAATATTTTATCCAGAGGATTTAGTTCATATCTTTTCTTCTTAAGGTAGTTATTCCGTTAAATGCATTTTCTTAGGATTTTTTTAAAATTTGGACAGATTATTATTTAATTAATTATTTACCCATATGTGTAGACTGGAATTCATGTACTATAGTTTAAGAGATATTTAATTTCAAAGTTCACGTTTTAAAAAGTCTTATACATTTTACTATACAGGATATCCGCAAGTCTAATTAGAAACATAATGTTAGCTTGGAATCCCTTCTTACAATTGTAGTGTAATAACTTTAAAAAAAAGTTTGATTTATTAATACAACACAGTTTCCGAAATATTAATTAATAAATTACGAACGGTTTATCGTACTCGAAGAGTAAAAGGGATAAACTGATGAAGAGCTAACAATCCGTGTAAAAAGGATAAAGTACGCACGTGGTAGAATTTTTCAAAGGATAGCCTATACACAATTTTTAGAACTTCTTCTAAAGGAGTAGCTAAAATCAAAATATAATTCAAGATGAAGTTAAACTGTGTCGATATTGTAAAATATTTTCATGTTTGTAGGGACCATAATTTTCATCATTGACATATATTGGGGTCTTCTATTAATGTAATTCTATATACAATTCACATGAAGTACATTGTGAATCTAAGTTGCCTATTATTACCTCAGACCGGTTACGTCAGCCGAGACGTGCGGCGCATGCGCACGACCCGAAGGTGAGTGCACACTCGTACGACTCGTTTTGATGTTATTGTGTTCAAGATAATGATCCGTTGGGTCTCGTAGTGCACAAGAAATTTTATATATAACAAATTATGATAAAATATCTTCCATCACTGTTTTTTTGTACAAATTTTCAAAAAAGTTTTGTGTTTATCTGTAATTGATTATGATTGCATTTCTGAGTACTTGAGTTACCAAGAATTTATTTAAATCTCCTTTTTTCACTGGTCGATAATCGGTCACTTAGGTTCCTCTCTACGGGCATAATAAGTTACATTACATAGAAGTATTTTAGTTTTCAAGTTTAATGAATTATTCAAAGAAGGTTCTATTTTACAGGTCAATCTCTATCAGCAGAACAGTTGGAAGATCTCCGTCGCCATATTAACTTAATAAAGAAGGTTCTTCAATTAATGCGCAAGGTAAATTTGGAATTGGAAAAATCTCAAAGACAGATGGAAAACCAGCTTGAAATTTATAAAAATAGAAAACTTCCCTAATGTTATAATTGTCAAAGCAAGTCAGCTTAAACGATCTCTTAGTGAGGACAGCGTTTATGTCTTTAGCTTTATTTTAAAGTTGATAATATAGTGAATTAGGTGGAAAGAATTCAATAAATATTATTTTCAAACTTCGTATGAACTTCAAAATCAGCCGAAGTATATATCATATAGTTCCATGATGAGAAAAATGAAAATTGATCGAAGCTAAATTAGTCTTGTATGGAAAATTTTATGGAATTTCATTTACGATGTGCTTTTTCAAAATTATAAGATGCGGTAAAGCTACGGACGTACCTACCTTTGCATTTTTTCTAAGAGTACAAGTCAACATTATTTCTGCTTATTCTCTTAGTTCTGACAGTAGACATTAAGTTGTTTATTATTAATGCAAGTGTGAGCAACTAATTGACTGGAAGTAACAAAATGTTGATTTGTTCATTTTTTTTTAGTGTAGAATTAAAAATATTTACGTTGCACGATACATGGTAGAGAATTGAATTTTTTGCAAGTTTATGTGAATTCTAGATTTAAGTTTCTTATTTTTTTGCTTGTGACATAATTATGTTTTATTTGTATTTTATATAAGTAGTCGTCAAAATCTTTGCTATTATTGAATAAAAAAAATAGCATATTTACACTAAAAACAGGATTTATATATAGTTGATACGTATGTTTATAGTTATAATTCTATATTTACTATTAGTAAATCTTAGTTTAATTAAACATGAATTTTTTAGTATACTAAAAATAGAAAAGAGATTGATTAATCAGTAATTAGTGTTATTTAATTTCATACAGCATTTTTCCAATGTAGATGCATGTTCTATTATGAATGTAGTTCTCATCAATTTATTTTCTTTGTAGAGTTAAGTTTATCGCGCTGGGAATTGCAATTAGATATATTCCAAATGGTCTCATTTTTTAAAAACAATCTAGATAGGTAATTAAAATAAGATTGTATATTATGTAGTTTGTATTTTTGCTTGGTAGTAGCTTTCGTAGATGTAACAAATAAAGTTAAGGCTTGGGTCATCGTTTGTTCTATTTATTTTCCTTAACTTAACAGCATAACATCGATCCTTACATACAATCAGATTCCTGTAATTTCTGTACCTCTAATTTCTGCTAGGCGGAGCTAGAGTTCCCCTACTAGTATCACTGCGTGTGTTTAGTGAAAAGTGAGGTTAAAAATGATTGTATCCCCTGAGCTGCAGAAATTACATGAGTCTGACTCTATATAGAATCTCGATAAAGTATGAAATAGATCTAATCAATATCTGGACAGTAAATGATCGGTAAGTAATAAATTATAGTAAGAAGTATGTCAGCTTTTAAAAATCTAGACATTAATTGAGTTGTCAAACAAGATCAAATTCAGTAGCACACATAACAGAGAGGAAAGAGTATACTAAGAACCACAGGACGAAACAGAATTATATCATGTAAAATTGCTCCCCACGCCGAAGGCAAACACATGGTATGATATCTCTCACTTTATTCCTGAGGTAAATATACTTGTTTTTGTCAGAACTTCCCCAAAAGTTGACATTGTTTCCAGTTTTGAGATTAGAAATAGTCATTCTGGATCTCAGAACTGGGACGAAACTTTAACTTTCAGAAGGGTTATAAAAGAAAATGATTTTCAATTCTATGTTAAGATTAATAACAGATAAAAAATTTGCTTGCCCTTAAAAACAGCATGTAAATCAATATGACATTCAAGTTAAAACATTTCATACATGTACTATGTCTATTACCATATCTGTATTACCATTTCGTTTATCGTCTATGTGATACCGTATGAAGGTTAGGAGGTGATTTGAATGACAAATAGAGCTATAAACTGAATGAACAGATAATAAAATAAACATAAATGTTTACGATAGAGCTGTAATTGTTAGAGTTTAATGGAATAGACTTTTTTTTGGTGATGATAGAGATGTATACTAACTGAGATGTAAGTCGAACACTTGTAAATGACAGAAACTGAATGATCTCTGTAGGGAAGTGGACAACTCCATCAATTACAACTCTATTGTAACTTCTCTACTTCATACATATCTTAATATCTACATGCAAAATAAAACTTAAGTAGATAAAATGGCACTTCAATTACATATTATAATTATTAGAATATGATGTTTATTTATTATAAAATAATGTCTAGACATGTACCAATCATAGCATTACATTTTAAACAAACTTTTCAGATGACGTAACAAACGTTAAAAATGCAAAGATTTTTTGAATGCTTGTATATTTTTTTTTTTTTTTGATCGAAGAAGGTGTCTTTAAATGTCCTGCCTACCCCAGTGCTAGGCCTCGAGATCATTGTGCTGGATTTGTTTGCACAATAAAGGCAGTCGTCTCATGTCTTAGGCCTGCAGTCCCAGGTTCCCAAGTTGCCTTGGTTTTTTTAGCCCTGAACAGTCCTCGTTGACTTCCATGGTGGTTCAAATTGAACATTATCTTTTTACCTCCATGCTAGCCCCGTGGCCCCCGGTTTCCTCAGCATCAGGTAGGCAAGATCTATGTGACTGAGTCAACCTTAGAGGTTGTCCCAGTTCCATAAGAAATCGTCCTACCTTCGGCAGCTTCATTTCCACAGCATCAGCTTAAGATAACGAGAGAGTGTGTGAGGAATTTTGCGGTCTACCTGTACGGAGCTTCTTCTCAAGTAAGGCTGTATACAATAGGTTGTCGCCCTGTTCCCCAAGGCTATCGTAGCGGTAATAGTACTTTTTTGTACTATTCAGTCATCAGAACGATAGCTTACACCTTTGACTGTCCTCTGAGAAGCCTCCCGCTCATCGTGGTCAGAGGAAAGACTAATATTATAGATGAGTCTTGTCTCGGTCAGGAATCGAGACCCACTACTCATATGTGTACATCTCTAAAATAACTGTAAAAAAATTGGTCGTCATTTATGTTGCGTAGTAGAGATAACTTTCATTTACGTTATTTAGATAATATAGTCGGACGATCAAGCCTTCTTTGTCATTTCATATTTTTATTTAAAAGAGTAAAACAGTTTTTATACAAACGACTTTATTCACTAAGTATGCATTGACGATATTTTCTCAAAAATAATTATACAAAATACTAATAACTTATATGAATATATCATAATGTTTTATAAATTTGAGAACTGTCTTGAAAATTTTCTGATTGGAAAGATCTGCAGTAATTAGTCTCCTATTATTTACTCCTTGACACATAATTTGCCAACCATTGTCCCACTCGAGCTTTGAGTTTTTTTAATTCAGGATATTCAACGCCAAATTTTTTTTCTAGGACATCTGTAAAATCAATACAAATTTAAATAACAATTCTAAGGTATGAAAATGACATTGATTATTTATTATTTTTACCTTTTAAACACTTATAAGTTTCCGTTTTACTGTAATTTAGTTTTTTTGTTCCCCGAAATTTCTTTCCGGATCCAGAATAGGCTGATTGTACTACATGACTCAACGTATATGACATGAGTTTGCTTATACAGTTTTTCAGGCATGATTCACCACTAATGACAATGCTGTATCTATTTATCTGAAACAAAAAAGCTGTGAATATTAATTATCCATTTTTATCTTCTTTTCGTATTGATTTACTTAACTTTACGTAATCGATTAATTATACTCTATTTTTATAGCACAAAAATTTACCAGTTCCGAACGATTTATTTCTGATTCTGCAAGTAAACGATTCAATTTCTCAAATTCCGCCACTGACTTCGATGGTAATTCATCATCCAGAATTTTTCTAAAAACTTCAGAATTAATATTGTTCGATGTAGTTGAACTTTTACGACCTTGAGGTATGCATGACTCGTTTTTTTTTAAAAATGATAATACGTCAGAACGAAATTCATCAAAGTTTTGCTGCAGCGTTCTAATGCTGGAGTGGACGTCTACAAAGAGAATATTTAATATCAGATTGTATTGTCATAAACCATAATGAGGCTAAAAATTAAAAAATTTTCTTACAGTGATACAAAATAAGAATTGCTTGATGAATGATAAATTAGAGCAATTTCTAATGTAGCTAGAGATCATCAGTAAGAATCCTAAAGATATGAACTTCTTCAATAAAACTGAGGATTTTATTTGCACTAAACTACAAAAAAAATTAGAAGTTTTATGTGTATTATGGACACTAAAATCCATTTTTTTATGGATATCTATATAGCCAATCGACATGCATCTAGTATACTCATAATAGGAATAAACCAAGTAAGAATTATAAATTAATTTTGAGATTTCCGAGAAGAAGAGCTATCTGCTAATACGGGAAATAACTGCCCATTTGAGTGAGCATTTGTAGTTCATACAAGCCATTAATTATTGGTGAATAAATACGTTACTTTTACTTCTACGTATTGGAATGTAGATTATTTAACTATTGATAAGCATAGACCTGATATGCCTGCATTCAAGTCCGCTTGCTTCAGATATTTATCATATGTAAGAATAGTGCAATCTAAGTTGGAACGTAACAGGGATGCATCTGAAAAATTCCAAAATCTTTTTTATCAAATGTAATGGTTAACTCTACCGTAATGTAAAAAACAAAATATATTACTTGAGGTGATGTGTTCTATTATACTGGAATCGATGATGTCATTAACTCCGTTTGGGACAGCGACATTGAGGGCTCGTTGTAACGTTTCAGTATATGGCAGAGCTGCGTACTCGTGAGTAACAGTGAATTGAATATACTGAAAAACTATTACAATTGAGTATAAACTAGTAACAATTACATTAAAAAAAACTTATGAAAAGATCATTTACCTGCGGAGTTGAGGATGATGACGAGGGTTCTGTTGGTCGTATGTTAATATTGCATTCACTGGAATTTCGGTTATTTTTAGGAGCTGGACATTTTTCATTAATCGTATTACTACTGGCTTCCGAAATGTTCTGTATCTTGGAAAAACTTGGCGTTTTCGAAGGTTTCCTGGGCTATAAATTAATTATTGTTGAATTGAAAACTTTTTGTCATTATTAATCCGTATGAATTGAACAATCTCCATTTTGCGGTTCGACAACATACCGAAGTTATTGCTAGACTTTCAAAAGTTATTCCATGATTGTATGAATAGCAATAAGAAATAAGTTAATATATATGTGAGCGAGCAAAGGACTTTATTGATTACTACGTCATTATATATCTGTTATTTTCAGCTTTATTCTTTTTTCTTGAACTATACTTCTTATTATTAGATTTAGTTATTTGATTGGTATTTGAAAGTAAAAACTAAGAAAAAGTAATCATAATAAAAAATTTTTCAGAAAATGTTAGATGATAAAGTAGAGATTACTAACCTTTTTCATAAACAACTTTTTTTTCTTCTGAGATGCAGCCGGTATCTCTGTTTCATCCTCTTCCTCAGAACTCGTGAAATTTGATGCAAAGGAATCTGCAAGCTATAGAAACATTTGAATTTTAAGACACATTGTTCGTATTATTCCTTAAAAATCGGGATAATATTAAATTAAAGTTTACATTTTTCCATGTTTCTGAATCAATACTCGATTCTGATGATTCAGAGTCTGATCTCCACAGTCTCGCCTGAAATATAATTATCAAATCGGTCAAAGTAGTTATTGTAACTTAATGAAAAATTAGAAAAATTCGAGAGATTTATTCTTTTTTACTCACTAATAAAATATTTTTTTCCTTTGTACTTAATTTTCCAAAGCTGTTATTGCCCACTTTTTTATTTCGAAACTTACTTCGTCCAACGTTCTCCGATACTTTATCCTTAAAATAAAATTCGAATTTTATGCACATGAAATATTACTATTTAGAAAAAAAAGTCATTCACAATATAAATTTCGATACTGTTAGAGCAGAAATATGTTACAAAAAAAATCTACACAAAATTTAAACAGATACGTTTTTGTGTGCAGATGGGTACTTTTGCTGCTGCTGAAAGGAACAATTTCTATCCGAATTGGCTTTAGCCTGGAAGTTAACCCGCACCCTATATATCCCTTGTAAAAAAAAACGACAGTACCGTATAGAAAACGATAGGAAAGTTTTCTGTCGTAATTATGACGGTTTCTGAATCGTAACCTATGATACAGTCGAAGCTCGTTAGTGTTGACAGGATGATTTTGCTAGTGTTGCTCGTCTTTCGCCCCACTCCGATCTCTTTAATAACTAATGAAATCTTGCGTGAGTAGCGCGTATTTTAAATTCAATCAACACTATAGTTAACATATATGTTAAATACAGGTTATGTATCACACATATGTATCCTTTCTTTATTTTTATTTTCCGCGCATTCTTATGCGCAATGAGGAGAATAGGTTCACGAGTAATAGGGATATAGGGGAACAATAACACCAACAAATGATCCTGGACGGACGTGTCAACACTAACGATCTTCGACTGTATTCGAATACGGTTGAATACGGGAGTCTGGAAAAAACATCTGTCGTCTCTTATCGTAATCAATCGAAAATTCTATTTTCACCCGATTATTTTATCGTCGTCTATCGTAATGAATCATGAATATACTCACAAGAGAATATTCTACCGTATCCTGTCGTAACCAATTGTACATATTTGTACACTAGGCTATTCTGATACTTAATTTACAAATAGAAAATAGGCCCATATGAACGTATTTTTTAGTTACATTTATAGATAAAAAGGAAAATGAGAATGATTGTGTTAATTAGAGTTCAGTTGAGTGATTATTTAATAATTGTTGTATGTAATGTCGTGTATTTAGTTTTAAATTAAGATTTATTCATTTTTGCGATTACAAAACATTTTGTAAATTTCTTAGGTTAAACAAATTGATAAAAAAATCCTTATTCCCTGAGTATTAAATATACGTAGTAAAAAATAAAGTGAACGTGGAATTCTCTAACAATTCAGGTACACAATTAGTTTTTAAACTGTAAAATATCCTTACAGCTTAGAAACAAATAATCTATTGACGATTGATTACGACAAAATAAAATAGTACATGCGGTAATAAATTGAATATGGACGGTTGAATACGATCGAATATTCTAAAATGAACAGAATACGTACATTCGGTTAACGACAGTCTCTTCTCCAGTGAATAATTAATAATGAACGATTGATTACGACATGATGCGATCGGATATTCTCTAGTATATATAATATTGTTAATGCATTACAATAGAACACGAAATAAATATTTGTGTTTATCGTTGCTGACTGCCCTTTATGTTTGCCGAATTTAATACGATAAACTTGTGTTCTCCAAAAGGTTGTCAAAGATTACGATAGACGTCTTATTCAAACGTTACGATTGAAAATTATATACATATTTTTGTTTGTCCGGATTTCTGTATTGAACACGACAAGATTTCTGGTTACGCTCAGTTATGACAGATAACAAAAATTTCTCTAATCGTAATTTACGACACAAAACGATATGATATGACGAGAAATGTGTCTCAGATTTTAATTAAAATTGTTCCGGATTGATTACGATTTCAATCTCTATTCGGAAATAAATTTTCTTTTAGAGGTACGATAGCGTACGATAAACGCATGGACAACTGGATAGAAATCCTGTCGTTTTTTGTCTCATTTTATCGGTTTGTTTTACAAGGGATATATATATTTTCCTGATCAGCATTATTAAAAGTACAACATACTCCATTTTTAACGAAATCGACAGTGATGGAGTAATATTATATATATAATTACCGAAAAATTTTTTCCAACAATATTCAACAACTTGAAGATTTTTCATTAATCTTTAAAATAATATTTCAATCTATTTGTCAATAACTCACTTTCTAAAAAGAAAGATTTTGATTTTCATTGATTCATTATTTCAGAATTCCTACTTAACATATGATTCGTAAATATTATATCACATAGTGGTTACACTAGCTATCAACTGATAACAAGATCAACTAATTTAGATCATAGTTTTACTTGAATGAATTACCACTTTCTTATTTTTAAACACAGATATTTAGTTTGTTTTTATCTATTAAAAAGACAAAGACAGACTAGAAAACAGTTTGTACTTAGTCTCATTACTAATAACAGATTCTTCATATTAGACTAAAAACAAACTGAATTTTTCGACTCGAAAACTCAATCTGCCATTTCTTAACTTACTTGTTTATTTTCGAAGTAATTAGCAGTTGATGGTGATGGCGCACGTTTGCTATTTTCTTCTGCATTAACGATCATGCGTTTCTTCCATTTTTTTTCCATTATACAATTTCAGACATGTATGAGGCTACTTTATCGTCTTAGTGTCTGCCTGTAACACCTGTAAGCTCAATCTGCGTCAATCACTCTACATTAAAGTAAGCCTTCGAATAAAGATTGATTTACTTTCCACGTGTAGACATATGTCGTTAGTAAATTTAGAACAGTTTCTGTTTACGTAAAATATAGTTTGCCGACAGTCCCCAATCTCACTGTATACATATTGTATAACTTGACCTACTTATCGTCTATACAACGTAGAATTGTGAGATAGGATATTGCCACATCATAACATACGTACCATAAACGTTCAATTATTTATGAGTTGAAATTTTCAAATTGATGCATTATACTCTCATACAATACTGGACATGCAGTGCAATTTTTTAAAGTTTTTATATGTGATTTCCCTATACCGTCCTATAGAAAATCACACAGCATTTATGTCCAGTACTGTACAATAACTTGCAAGGTTACATATATTGTAAAATAAGATCAAATAACAATTTTAGAAAATTAATGAATAAGGAAAAAGTTTATTGAAGATTGACAGCTAGTAATTAAATAGAAAGAATACGTCCGGTCAACTCAAGTCTCAGTAAAAACTGGAGATTAACAAACTCTCCCCTCGTTGCTATAAACAATCTAATCGTCAAGTAATCGTCATTACTAACAAACTGTCGTTAGTCTAATAATCATTAAATGGCGACATACAAATATTTTACAATATATATGTAAACAACGTTAACATATATACCCCATTTTAAACGATTAATTTGTTAATGAATTGAATTTGCGACCTATAGCAGAAGCCCCACTCCGATCTCTTTAATAACTAATGAAATCTTGCGTGAGTAGCGCGTATTTTAAATTCAATTAACACTATAGTTAACATATATGTTAAATACAGGTTATGTATCACACGTATGTATCCTTTCTCTATTTTTATTTTCTGCGCATTCTTATGCGCAATGAGGAGAATAGGTTTACGAGTAATAGGGATATAGGGGAACGATAACACCAACAAATGATCCTGGACGGACGTGTCAACACTAACGAGCTTCGACTGTAAACGCTTTCACCGTTATCATGTTCCCATTTCCCCACCGAAAAAATATCAATTAATAAGAATTCGCAACAAAAACAGTGTATTCTAATTTTTCATTTGGGACTGTCTGCGCAGGTCGATGCGCAGAAAAGAACATTCTGATAAAAAAAGATGGACATATTTACAGTGCAGAGTGGGGATTAAAAGCGTAGGAGGAGAAAGGTATATTGGAAAATAAAGGATAATTGGAAAGAGTGAAAATTTTCTGGATTGATTACAGCGAGCTTTGGCTGTAAATGCTTTAGTCTTTAGAAATGTAATTTTTATCCAATAATTTATGATTAGCAAATTATGATTATTTAACTATTGTACATTGCATGATTTAAAAAATTTGGTCTTGGTGCAACCCTGTAGATTTACATGACTAACTTGCCCGTGGAAAGTATGAAAAATTAGCAAACATTTAATTATTTTTAATAACAATATTCATAACATCGTGAATTGTGAACATTGGCTGGTTTGCCTTTTTTTAGTTTTTTACACAAAAAGTGACTCAATTGATTTTCCTCAAATTATAGCCCGGAATAAGCACCAGACCTATACTTTAAATAAAAGTGGTTTCATGTGAACAGTATCAATTGTTTTCAAAATACACGATACAATAATTCATAACCAGCATACATACGCACACCCAGCCCTCTTCTTAAGTACCTATACTAGTATTCAATCTAGCAATCTCGAAATGTAACCATGTGTCAAAATTATAAAGTTACACAATCGAATTTGTTACAACTACCCACTGGAGGTTAATAGCGATATTGTATGAAAAATTTTTCAAGGACACCTTTGTTCATTCTATTTTTCCTCCTATATTATCAAAATTCAATGAAATCCGTTAGATCGTGAACAAAAACATAATCTCATAAAATGTATATATATATAAAACATGTACTCATCCTCCCAGTACGGAAATACGTCCTTGGATTCCAAGAGCGACTAGTAAATTACTCACAGTGGCACAATAATGTAACATTATGAAACATTTGGTTGTTATAAATTAGATTACCTCGAATAATTGAAGTCTGGCGGGAACTATCTTCACACTAACTCGAAACTAACCTATCTTTTACAATAATGTACAATATACAACATAATTTGATAAAAAATGTGTTCAACTCACGAAATGGACGTGTTCTCTTCTGCAGCCGATTTGAGCAACTGACATTGAACGACTTAGTTCTCTTCTATCCATGCGTTGTTAATGAAGTTTGAATACGAGTCTATACATACTTTGTTCATGCAGATAAACATTTCGGTAAACATTCCGACGCTATAAAAAGCTGTTGTGATGTATGAACTAATGAAATTATTATAAGAGCCGAATTTTATATTTTTGTCACCCTATAAAAATAAAAATCATCACATTTTTAGCATGATAGACAAAGAACCTTTGCTTTTTTGGTGTCATAAGTTTGTAAAATAATCTTTTGTAATTATGTATATGCGGACATTATGTATATGTAAATGTGATGTTAATGTTAGTGAAGTCTTAACTGAAGGGGAATTTTTTCTTTCTCGAAAAAGAGTTATTAACCATGTAACATGAACGGAAATAAAACCTTTTTGTTTAAAACAATTGGATTAGTTATAAACAATTACACACTAGATTTATGCGATATTTTTGATTTTTTTAACAGGATATTTTTCTTTTATTGAGAAAAGGTTTATAATTACATGATAGAAATAGAAACTAACTTCATTTGCTCATAACAATTGTATTGGTCATAAACAATCGAAAATGGGAATAATGTAAGTAAATCATACGATAAAATTCCCATTGTTTTGTCTATTATTAATAGCTACGAGTTTATCAGCCCCTTATTAATACCATCAGAAAGTAATATGTATCTGGAATTGGTTTATTTGTACTACAAAATTACTATTCAAAACTTTTTTCGATCAATTTATTATTATGTACAGTATCGAATATAAATAGTGCATGATTTTCTATACGATGGTATAGTAAAGTTGTATGTATAACCTTTGAAAATCAAACAACATTTATGTCCGGTACTGAACCATTTTCACGCACATTACGCGGATGAAGTTGCAGGAATCAGCCACTTTCAATAATAAAGACACAGTAAAATATATCATTATTTGTAACTTTATTAAATCCTTAAAAAAGAGTTTGTCAGCTGTCACAACTAATTTCAATATTTAAGTAGCAGTCCCTTTCGTCAGGTAATGTGTTTTTCTCTATGGAATTAAAAAGCGATTTTCCCCCTCGAATTAGTCATTTATTTTTTGTTTAAAAATTTGGACCATCTTCTCTTGAAATATTTAAATACTTTTGGATAGCCTGTGAAATTTATATTTTGATGAAATGCAAGTAAATAATAGTATTCTTTCAAAAATGAAAAAAATTCCTCAACATACTTACGTGAATGACGCCGACTTTTTTCTTCAAACAATGATTCCAAAGGCAAATCTGTGAATCCGAAAGTAAAATTTTCTAATCGCTGTACTCTCCGTTTCAGTCTGATCAATGCAATTTGCCCGATAACATACAATACATCCGGTGGCATATAGCCATAAGTTTCGGCAGGTTTCACTTCTAACATGCGTGTATAAACCTGAGAAAAAAGCATTTTTAATTCCGAACTATTGATCAAATTTTATTTATTTTTTCTAAAATTTAGTTACTTCAAAAAGATCCATTTTATTGCAATTGACATCTAATGGTTGATTAACAGGTACATAATAGATTCCACGCCAGTCTACTTCGTTATATCTTAAAATTTTGAAAAGACGATCTTCCTCAAAAGACACCCAAGCTGGCCAACCGATTGAATCCATGATTAATATCTGCCTTGACAAAACTACACTGATTTCAACCACGCTATTTTCTTGATAGGCAACTTTACAAGGTTCCCATAACTTCACCATAACACAACGAAACGTCTACTCTAGGCGCACTTCACAATACCTTTGAATCGGTCTTCGAAAACTTAAACTTGAATTTCCTATAGCGCATTTAATATATACCAGCAATCTATCTTAAATTTTTTATATTTATATCTTCAGTCTTTTTTATCGCGTTTAGAAATTGCCTACTTATATTTATAATGTTTTTTAATGTGATTACCGGTCAGTCACTTATTAATTTGTATGGTAGTAGATGTTTATCACTATCACAAGCTGAAGAGCACTACGTCCCAGTAAAACGCAGATGTCTCGCTTGTCACACCTTTATCAGTCCTTATTTTAAAAAAAAATAGGTCACTTAACACTTCACAACTTCCTAAAATGAATTAAGTTGACATATATCACGCTAATATCAGCTAAAAGTATTTATATCGCGCTGAAATTCGAGAGTTGAATCGACAATCCTACAAGGAAATATGTTACCAATGGAATACTAAGTATCCTGTTTGTCGGATACAAATGAGATGGCCCGTGTGTCTACCGCATGTATTGAATTCTTTAAATTCAAGGTTACGATACATCTGTGGGATGAAATAACATAATTTAATAATAATTTGTTCATCTTTTTCATACTATCTTTGAGAGGCTATAATAATTTCAAATTTGATCATGACGTTTATTCTATACAGAGTATGATCAAATTCGCGCAAAGTAGTAACATTAGCTTGCTGCGAAGATGGAACGAAACAAAAAGTTCTCCTGTTTTGACATTTTGAAAGAGATATAATTGACCAATTACGTGTAAGCAGCGGGTAACCAGTCGTTAGACATTACACAAAGTATGACAATAATTCTTTCTCTCTTCATTTATATAGTTAATATCTATACTTAAGAAAATATTAATCACAACATGTAATTCGAATGTGCGAAAATCCAATTTTGTTATAAACATTCACCTCAGAAAGTTACGAATATTTTATTTACTTCCAATAAATTGTCGTAAAAATAAATTATATTTTTAGTAGTTAGACTTTTTTAGAGACAATTTATAATAACATCAATTAAATTAGATTGATTCCAATTGTGAGTTTAACGCTACTGATTGATGGGTATTCCTTTTTTAACACTAAGTATTCAAACTCAAAATATTTTTATCCGACCGATTTAAAGTGTAAATTTCGAAAATCTTTTTTATTTCTTCCACTTAAGTTAAAAAAATAACTTTGATAATCATTAACACGCATAAACTGTTTATGGTTTGAAATAAGGTTCATAAACATTTTAAGATTTTTTTGGAAGACTTCTGAAAAAAATTGTCAAAACTTTTCTCTCTAAATTTACTTTATTGTTTCTGACTGTATTATTTAAAATATTAATTTTTTTATATATTCCCTCTATAGGACTAATTAAAGTATTTTGAGATTTTCAATCATGGATAGATAATAAATGAACGCTGATCATAATGACTATAAGCTGTTCAGGGTAAAAAATTTTCTGATCACTTCTTCCTAATTCACCAATGTAATGTATCATAAGAATTCTCGTACAAGATGATAATGTGATATACGAAACTCTGTGAATCATTTGTTATAATACGTTTGATGCTTATTCATGATTAAGTAATGATTACAAGATCAATATTAAAATTTAATCAATAAACTTATCTATTGAAAGTAGATTTTTTTCCTCAAATGAAGCCAAAATTAATTAAATGAGTTAAATTAAATTTATACCTATTGTTTCAGATACTGTTTCTCCACAAAGACCTTTTCTCCGAGTGTATGATGATAAGCATGAAGCGCAAAACTAAAATATGTACAGATACTCGTATCTAATGTCAGATTCTATAAATGCATTACCAATTAATAAATTCTTTCTTTTTATGACTTATAAATTAATATTTTTCTCAAAGCTTACTGTGAATATCAATAACATTTCTACGGAGCATACACATAATGAATCGAAAAAAATTTTAATGCATTTCAGAAAGCATAGTAATGCCCATCCGTACTTATTGCACTTTCATGTATTATGAAAAAGATGAAAAGAATATTTAGTAGTATGTGAGAGGGAAGTTTTGATAAATATTAAAAATGGTATATAATTCAATAGATTTTACAGCTCTTTAGAAAAAATGTATTTTCAAGAGAATTATAAGAATGATTGCAAAAGCTATAAGACTTTATTTTAAATTATTTTTTTAAATCATACTAGTAGAATATTTATTACACATTTAATCAACACTATTATTCAACAAAAATCACAACAGCATCAATTGACTGATTATACGTATGGATTATCATTTTAATTATATTGTTAAGTAAATTCTAAACCTGTCTAGTTAACGTTTTGACTTCTTTTTAGGCATCATTGGAACCATGTTATACGCAGAAATAGATCATTTTGGATGTCTCTAAGACAACTTTAAGGATATCAAATAGGATTTGGACTTTTGTTCATTTGAATCTGAAACATGTATTTTCGATAGCCTTTTTCTAGTTGGGCTTCGAATGCAATGTTTCTGAATCATATATATTCAGCTGACTAGAAAGTTCAAATTGATAACTTTTCAACATGAGAAATCAATTCCGTCGATGAAAAGATATCCATCTAGATTTTCTCGGTTCCGCATAAAACTTCTTGTTTTTGAGGAGGAATTTAAATTAAATTAATACTCTGGTGTTATTACATAAAAATTATTGATCCTTAAATATTCATTTTTTATGTAGATCAAGATCTATTTGGCCTTTTAGACAAATATTGATTATAAGTATGTGAAACCTTTAAACTGCGCTAAAAGATGGTTATCTTTAGATGCCCATTTGACCCTCAAAAAATGCGTTTCTGCATAAAAAGAAAAATATATGCCTTTTAAAATTCGATGTGAAATAATATCCAACAATTACAACAAAAACTAGGGGTGACACGTTGGGACACCTTCCTTGTCAGTAACTTTTTAATCAAGCTTAGAAGAATTTTTATATCACTTTTTTTTTGAGAGTGGCTAGTTTTTCAATTATAAATAATTTAATAGTTTAAGTGCGTTTTTCGGTTAATATGATAGAGGCTGATAGACAGAAAAAAATAGTTGGCATAAAAAATGTTCCCTATTCTGGGAAGAACAAACTTTCATTTCAATCATTTGTACTTGATTTTCATTGTTCTAAAAATTATCAAACATTGATAGTATATTATGCACCTAGGAACTTAGTAGTGATATAGAGTTTGAGCAGTCCTAATGAAAAATAAAAACAACAGTGAAATCATAATAGAATTTATAAGTCTTCATGTCAAGCAATGTTCATTTAAATGTTTGCATGATGACAAGGAAGAGAAAAAAGGGAAGGGATCAAAATGTCAACTTGACGAGCTATCACATATGATAATTTTAAAAACTGCTTGAGTGATCATGTAAATATTGTCAAAAAATATTATCTAGTAAAGAGTAGGAACGATCATGTTGAAACTATTATGTGAGAAAAATTAGATTCAAGCTAAAATGACGATAAACATTAACGAATCAGTTACAACAAATACTCTTCTTCGAGGATATCAATAATAAAAATACGCTCTTGCTTAATAAATAATTCATTATCGAATGTTATAAAAATTTTCATTTTTCTAAGTGAACTTTGTATCTTCTATAAATTACGTTATAATATTTTTCTATACCTCTTTTGTATTTTTCTTAGCATTCGAATATTCAGGATCAAGTTCTGATGAGGGAAAACCTTCAAAAATAAATTATTCGTACTGGGTTACATTAAAATTATAAATAAACTTATTTGGGCCGTATAAGGAACGGCGCAGATCAAGGGGGAGCCATGCTAGATGATTATAGGCACGACTGATGAGATAGCTTATCTGGTAGAACAGCCAGCGCATAACTGGAAAAAATTGGCAAGAGTGGAGATACTCCTGAATCCGTACTATATCCGATAGCAACCCTTTTAACATTCTTTAACTAATTAGGAAGAAAACGACTCCAGTCGTAGCAATAACTGCTAGGTTTACAGTGCTGACACTTATAGGCAAACAAACTTCCTGTGTAATTAAGCATCAGTATAATGATTTTGTAAATTTTTCTTGCTATGGGTATGGATTAGAGCAATTCTCTCTTCTTCTATTGATTATGGCCCCCGGATTTACATAGAAGTTTCTGTTCTTTAAGATATGTCGTGTAACACGGGGGCAGATTATAGTTCATCGTGCCCCATTTTCGTACTGCCCTATATGGTAGTCTGAATATGGGCATTCTGAACACGCCGAGCGCGAGACGCGTCAGCGACTGCCGACCAAAGCGGATAAAGTTGGTGCTACAGGAGGCTAAATTCCAAGCCCTGTGCCTGGGGCTGCAAAGTCAAAATATGACATGTAGGACTAGGTACAACTGGCCAATTGAGGTCGGACTCGTAGTGGTATGTCGTAAGACGTCGGGCTTGTTACGTGTATCCCTGTGTCTGTTTCAAGGTGCAGGTATACGCGCCCCGGGAAACGCTATCGCGAAGAGAGTAGAGTTATAATTTCCCAAAGTTATGCCCTAGTAGGCGAGGTACTCAATTTCCGTCCTTCGGACGGGGGAAGCAAGGATTTGATTCTTCTATTGATTAACTTAAATTTCTTCAATCCTACATAAAAAAAAACAATTTCTTTGAAAGACGCTTATACGTATGCAGAAAAAAATTATGCAAAAGAGATCTCAATAGTTGTAAAAGTTACAAGACTTTATTCTAAATTCGTCGTGAGAATAAAATTAATATTGAATTTACTTCATATTCGATAGATACTTAAATTCAATAAAAATCCCAATGAAATTTTCAGACTAACTTTAATAAACAATCTCGCTGACACATGATGTTTCTTATCTTGCTAACATTGCGTTACCTTTTGTCATACATAAATTATATCAAATCTATATTTTCAAATTATTACATCAATCAATTCTCAATAGATCAAATATTTTGATATTTCAGTACTTGAAATCCTAATTCTATTTCTTTCTGAAGTGATTATCGTCACACAAATGGTGTTACGTTAATCCTATAGGTTCTGAAATATTTTCATCATAATGATGTTTTATGTAATTTTTTTGCCAATTCTATTATATTGTCAATATCATTTTGAAGAGATTTTGTTAACAAAAGCAATATAATTTATGCACAATAGTTGAGAATCAGTTAGTAAAGCAATAAATACTTTAAACTTCCACTGATATTTGTTTTGTCAAGAAAAACACAGATTTAACTTTGAAAAATTTTAATCGATGTCAATAATAAAGGAAACATTCCTTAATTGAGTAAACAGCATTAAAGGTGCATGTTATATCGCTTATTAAAAAGAAGCAAAAATACCAAATCGATCCATTTATATAATTATGCATAATTGACAAAAATTTTATTTTGTAGAAGTGAACGATGATATAAAACCTTTTAAGAAGAAAAGTTAATATTATAACAATAGCTCGTTTGCTAAACAATAGTGCATCGTTTTCAAAAAACTTACAGCAAAACCTTAACATCACTCGTACGGCTATTGTTATACTTGATATCTAATCAAGATTATAAGTCTATACATGTAAATATTCTATTTTAATCCAATAATATCGATCACAAGACAAGTAATTATGTTGTTTATAATTATACATTTAGATAGTTTAGAATAAAAGGTTACAGATATTATCATAAATACTTCACATGGCTGGTAATTCGTCAAAATTAATTCTATTATAAAATAATCACAATCATGATTTTTTTGTAGCTTTCACCAAAATAACTCCTATGAAAAATAAAAACATGAACGTTATCTATACCAATACATAAATTTCGAGTGTACGTCTGTCCGGCCATCCATACTAATTTCCGAAACGCCTCATCCGATTGCAACTGAACGTTACAGACATGTAAAGGGTGTATTATTAGGACACACGAATTTATTACCTTCTTTTTAATTCCATTAGAAAGTAATATGGATATGGAATTGGGTCATTCGTACTTTGAAATTGTTAATCAAACATGACCACATTCATATACATATAACATGACATACTTGTAACAAAGTTATGTAACATAATTGTTATATCTACATAACAAAAGTCATGTATTGCAAATATTCAACCATGTTGAATGCCAATCTGACTCATCAGAAAGGAAGCAGACAGACGTAAATCTGACGGACATTTCAACGTCAGAACTGGCTGCTAGAGATAGCAGTCACAATGTTAACGTTTTATTACGGTTACAATGCCATGTAACTGTTGCTTAACAATTAGGTACATAACATAAAACTTAAATTTTTAGGATACCCATGAGTCAAAAAAGTTATGCAACTTGTGACTGTCTGGTTATATCACATTTACATTCGATGTTCATTAAGACACTGTATAGCTCAAAAATATTTTGACACTAAAAAATTTCTACTACTTTTCTTAGAACTAGATAAAAATTTCGTGAATACAGTAGAGTAGATTGTCAAAAATTTTTAAGCTCATTAAAACTCATCAAGCTCATTAAGCGCATCACTTATCTTTTAAGAAAATAACACATTAATTATAGTGTTCTTCATAAGTGTTTAATTCGATAGAGTTGTCAATAATAGGTCTGTAAATGATAACGATTACACAATCGCTTTAGAGAAACGAACTGTTCTATTAGTTACAATTCTATTATAACTTTTTTATCTTATACAGATCTCACTTTATAAAAAATGCAGATGTTTATTTTTGATATTCCTTTTAATGAAGGATAAAATAAAATATCAGTGAATTGTAAGCACTTTTAATTATACATTCTAAAAATAAAAAAAATATATTTTTTCACTTAGGTGTACCACAAAGACATGTACCAATCATAGTATTACAGTTTGAACAACTTTTTAGATGACTTATCAAGTGGTGAAAGGAAAAAGCGTTTCCAAATAATTGTATATAATATTGGTACGTTTTTAAAATGGCTGTTAGAAAGTACTCATAAGGAACGAGATCTTTCGAATTTGATAGTTGAGGTTCAGACAATGAAATATCAATAAGCATCCGATCGTATACATGACGAATATTGCTAATGTGAACGCTTTCTGATTGAGGAAATTTCAACGGATCTGAAGAGATCAGCGTTATTCCGACTGATGGAACGACACACCATGAAGAAGTTGTCGAATCTGCATCAGCATATCCATGGATACTGTCAAGATGTTGAATTGATACTGGTAATGACTCTCTACTAGATATCACGGAAGGAAGACTAATACATAGACCAATTTGCCTATTACACAGTAAACATTTTTTTAAATGATGAATTAAATATTGGTAGTGGAAAGATTTTCCACTTAATAAAATATGATACTGATCAATTTGTAGAATGGCATTTAAAAAATATTCATAAGGAATCACATCTCGTAAATTCAATGATTGAGGTTTAAATAAAGAAGTACGTATCAGCATTTGTTCGTATTCTAGACGAATATTTTTCATGTAAATATTCCCATGCTGCAAAAACTCTAAAAATTTCGAAGAAACTGGTATTAATGCAATCGATGAAGTAGAGTAAGAGGAAGTCGTCGAATCCGCCTCTGCATATTCATGAATGTGTAGTTTTGTTAGATGCGATGATTTCCTTCTGGACATCTTCGCTGAAATTTTCGATTTCTTCATAGAATTGTTCATATTTCTGTAAAGGAACAAAAATATTTTGTAAAAATAGGTCCGTAGATTCGAGCACTTCGGAGAAAGAACATTTCTAAATTTATGATGCGATGTTAGCGAGTGCATACTAATTTATTATATGACTTCAAAAATATAGATTATAGTGCATTAAGTCTAGACTATATAGAAGATACAGTTTTTTTTTCTTTTAACGGGAGTGATTAAAGCTCTTAATTGTTATCACGCTCTTCTTAATACAAAAACATGGACATTTATTCAGATAATGCAATGCACGGATTATATGAAATACCTAACGAGTTCGATAAATGACGCATTAAGAGAATATATTCGTATCTATATATATATACATATATATATATATACATATATATATATATATATATATATATATTTATCGTATCAACAACAGCTTTGACGAACGTCACAAAAATGCATGCCAAATATGAATGGCAAACACGATAATTATTGTTTATAAAGTGCAGTCTCTATAAAACTTCGTTAAGTGAATAACTAAATAAATATATAATATCGTTGGAGCCAAGTATTTAAATACAATGCCTCATTATATCCAATAAATTAAAATTGTCTTATCAAGATACACTAAATCCTATTTGATTTTCAATAGGATTTTAGTGAATTCAATAGAACTTCTGAGATAACAATTTTCCCTTTGAAAAGAGGTGATTCCTTTCTGATGCTCTAATAGGATTTGATAGCATTTAATGGAAATACTGTTGTCTCATAATTTCTCATAGAGTAATAGAACTAAACGTAATTTAATAGAATATTTAGATGTAAGGGATTCCTATTCAATATGTAAAAATCGTTTTCAATTTAATGATAATATTGAACGTTCTTTAATGGGAGTTTAATACTGTTGGAATTTCCTATTAAATTAAAAGTATACCTATTGAACGTTTCAGTAGAATCTTATTGTCACTTATTACATTTTAATTTGTTCTCAAGGTTTCTTGATTTTACGGATGTGTTGTTTAAATATATACCTGAAATAAAATGTCTTGGAAACTTTGTCCGAAAAAATCCCGTTTATGGTGAGATTCAATCCTGGTATCCTCAGGTCCACAGTCTAGTACAAATAAAAGAAAAAGAAAATGCAACGTGAAAATCATATCTTTATCCCGATGTTCCACGATAGATTTTTATATTATTTAAATAGAGATCATTGGAACAATTCCTGTAGAAAATCGATTTATCCAAAGAAAAATACGATTGGAAAAATATTGCCTTTGATCAATATTCTTCAATAGAACTAACTCCTATATATTCTATCGAAAAAAAGAAACTTTTATAAGACTTCAAGCATTTAAATAGGCCTAATTACTTTATGTTTCTACAACCGACACGGTGGCCCAATGGGTACAGCGTCAGCCTGACGCGCCATGGGTGGCGGGTTCGATTCCCGGCCGGGATAAAATCATTTATATGGTTTTTCTCGGGCCACCGTGAGTGTAAGGGTCTCTTCGGAGAGCCGATTGTATTGACACAGGTTTTCTCCAGTTTCCCTATGTCCTTGTGCAAATGCGATACAATAGTTAGGGCATAAGTCGGCTGCAGACGCAACCCGATAGACTATGTGTGTAATAGTTTATTGGGTAGGTAGGAAAGTGGTGAGCCTGCATAGGGGGGAGGGGGGATTTAGAGGGAGTGCGCGTAGGATCCCGATCGTAGGGATAAGGAGGAAGTATTGTAAAACACCTGGTAAAGCCAGGTATACAATTAAAATAAATGGTCTACTTTATGTTTCTACAGAATATAAATAAAATGAAATACGAATTACTATTTTTCGTGGCAATATTCTTTGAGAGAATTTTTTACAAGTATACATTGTGGACCGACACGGTGGTCTAGTGGGTACAGCTTTGGCCTGACGCGCCACGGAAAGTGGATTCGATTCTCGGTCAAGACAAAATCATCTAACCCTTGCTTCCTCCGTCCGAAGGACGGAAATTGATTACCTCGCCTACTAGGGCATAACTTTGGGAAATTATAACTCTACTCTCTTCGCGATAGCGTTTCCCGGGGCGCGTATACCTGCACCTTGAAACAGACACAGGGATACACGTAACAAGCCCGACGTCTTACGACATACCACTACGAGTCCGACCTCAATTGGCCAGTTGTACCTAGTCCTACATGTCATATTTTGACTTTGTAGCCCCAGGCACAGTGCTTGGAATTTAGCCTCTTGTAGCACCAACTTTATCCGCTTTGGTCGGCAGTCGCTGACGCGTCTCGCGCTCGGCGTGTTCAGAGTGCCCATATTCAGACTACCATATAGGGCCCCCGTGTTACGCGACATATCTTAAAGGACAGAAACATCTATGTAAACCCGGGGGCCACAAAATCATCTAATATGATTTTTCCTCTGACCACCGGGAGCAGGAGTCCTCTTCGGAGGGCCGGCTGTATTGACACAGATCTGCTGCAGTTTCCCTGTGCCATCCAATGGGCAAGCCATACAGTTGGGATAGGAGGTAGGGAAGGTAAGTTGGCTGCCGACGCAACCTTAGAATTACATTGTTAGTGGCTCCTTGGTAGGTAGAATTAGATCATAGAAGGGTAAATTGTAATGGCGTATACAATAAAATAAGATGTGTACTTTCCTTGAATAAATTTTACCTTTACATGTATTTACCCGAATCATATTCTTCGACCTCCGATAATTAGAGAAATTTGACTGTATTTACTATTCGTATGTGTATTTACTTCATATATCACGAAGGGTATTATTATTTTTATGAAAAATGCTTGCCATACCTTAATCATTAATTCGTTGTAAATAAATTAAGAAACAAAATACGACTTAGTGTTTTCTAATGACAATATTTCCCAACAGGACTTGATATTTTTGTACGCGGATATTTTCTTCATACTTAAATGTATTTTCTAAATCTCATAGGAGATCTATTCATCTCCTATTGGATGTTCGAGGAGTCAAACCTATTGTATAATGCGAAATCCTAATGAGGTTCAATAGACAATGAAAATTATTAGAATCATTGTAATCCCATTCAGTTGTGTTGATATGAAAGTTCTAAATTCTGTAAGTTTCACGATCACCATTTTTATACCTATTCGGATTTGTACAACCCTATGAGACGTTTTCCGGTTGGCAGAAATTTCTCAACTTTTTCTATTCAAATATGATGTTTTCTATTCAAATTCTGAAAAAACCTGTAGAAATTATCGTTTTTTAAAAGAAATGTTTAAGCAGAGAAATTAAAACAAATGAGTCTTTCTTTATTTATATTTATTGTAACACGAATAACTCAACGTGACTATTATAGTTATAAATAGAACGATAATTAATTGAATGATTCATGGAATTGATCGCCACGCCAAGTTTTTTATGTTGAAATAAATTGTTATAAAGAAAGACACATTTGATGTAATGTAATATTGTTTTATATACTGAAAATTTTGAAACGTAATGTTTATCACTTTTTTCACTTATTAAAATTTTTTTCATCTTATTATGAGGAGCATGTCTATGATTTTTGTAGAAAATTACATAATAATTAACGAAAAATAAATAAAATAGATAAATTCATTCATGGAAGGAAGGACATATCTTTTTACAAACAAAGACTAATCGTACACATCAACTCTTCATACCATACAAAATCCTTATTTTACCATCCAATTTCTTATAATATACACACAACACATCACTATACTACACCTTACCTACTTACCACTCTATTAGCCACCTGAACTGTATCGCATTTGCATGAATAGACGCAGGAAAACAGCAGGAAACTTGTGCCAATACAGCCGATCCTTCGAAACGGCCTTTCGTTCACTGTGGCCAGAGAAAAAACCACATGAATGATTTCGTCTCAGCTGGGAATCGAACTCGCTACCCATGGCGCACCAGGCTGACGCTGTGCTTACTAGGCCACCGTGTTCGTCGAAAAACAATACAATTTTATTACCAATATAATGAATCATTGTATTTAAATACTAGACTTCATTGATTTTAAGGAGTTTTATGGATGTGAGGGTCGCCTCACAAACCATTTATTTTCTAGCATTGAACAATGAAATCGTTGCTACATACACAGATATAGTACTTAGATGCTAGCTTAGTTCGCGCTCGACAACTAGGTGGTGATCGATTGTCGATAGTCCTTAGTGATTAAATGAATAAATTTGAATGTGTGAACACAGACAAATCAGCTTTGGCTCAACAGTCAATATCAGAGTGGTGAGTAGTTCACTATCTCATGTGGACTGTGGCAAACAAGGGGTCATTATCCCCTCTTGTTTCTTTTAGTCGCATGCGACATCCGTTGATTTATTTGATCTGATTGTTAAAGGCGCGTTAATTATTATTACAATTTCTTGCTCTGGAATCATCTGTTTTTATATGATTACCTGTACCAAAATATCGTTTATGTTGCATTGTTTACCGTCTATACTTAACCTACTATGTTAATTTAAGTATCCTTCGTTCAAATAATACCGATAATAATTTTTTTCTAATTTACCGGCCGTTCTTATATTATTACCGTTTAATTATGACCTATTTACCGTCTGATAAAAATTCCGCTTTAATTAAGATATCCGGTTTACCTATCGACATTTAAGCCGTTTCGGTGGTTGTTTTGAATCCTGTAAATAGAATAATTGCTCTTTTGTTAAAAGAAAGATTCATGACTATAAATCTAATACTTTTGTATCATTCCCTAGTGACGAATCTTGGACAACTGAGCCTAATAGTATAAAAGGAGACGAGAGTGCCATGTTTTGCAATTTAATCCTGTCTATTACAATAGTTAATAAAAATTCATTAGTAGTTAAATTGTCTGATAATTGAGTGTTCAATCCGTTAAAAATTTTTACCGTTTAACACTAGGAAAAACCGTTATATGAAGATCGTACCCTATGAACAATGGTTATCATCTCCGTCATTCATACTTGGCGCGCATTTTTGTGAAGTCTGTTAGGGCTGTTTTTGATATGATTTCACGATTTTTTGTATTACTAATAAAATATGTATTATTCCATTACTATCACATGGCATTTTAGACCAGTTATCACTATCTACAGGTATATATGGTAAAAGTATTTAATAGTATTAAGTGTGAGAATATATAATTATTAATTTGTAAAACAAAATAATTGTTATCTTTTACCGATCTAAAGATATCAATAATTATTCATTGAAGAACATAAATTAGACATCAAAAAAGATAAAACAATTTTTCTCCATTTATACTTTTGCGCCTTAACATTTATACATTATCTACTACCTTAATAAATTCATTCATCAACATCATAGCACTTATACCAACTACGAATCAAAAAACGTCTGCCCAAGAATAGAATAAATCTGTTTTCTGCCATTTCATGAACTGAGGAGCACGGCCTTTTTTTATTTTTGAAAATCAATAATTCTTAAGACATAATGACATACCTAATTTATTTCTGCGGCTATTTAATATATTTTTGAAAGGTTTTTATATCATATCGTTGTTTATTACGGAAGAAATTAGAAATTCTTAGAAGCATAACTTCAATGGTGCTGATTTGAGCAGAATGCAGACACGGAAGTGCATTGTCACCGCCATTCATACTTGGCGCTCGAGACATTATTCAAATAAACGTGTCTCTTTGTATATATTCGTGCAGTAAATATGCTTTGAAAAAAGATAAAAGTTGACAATCTGTTAAACATTAACCAGTTTCATTTATTAGGTTATTTTTAGTAACGGTAAATACAGAAAACAAATATTATGAGAAGTTCTATTCAATCTGTAATGTTAGTTTTTTATCTCAAAAAATGATCCTTAATGAATATCAAGTTGTTTTATACATTTGACGTAAGTGCAGTCTCCGATTAAATGTGACGTTTACTGTCACTAAAAACAACCTTATGAGCAAAATCGGCTAATGTTGAATCACACACTTTCCTTGAATCAATGACATTTATTTAAAACCATCACCAATGAAGCTGCAGATGGAGAATATACTCACATCGTCTGTTTGACACTATATTCCAAGAAAGTCGCGCCTATATTTATTTTAATAATTTTTTTCAGTATCACAAATGTATAAAAGATCACTCAAACACTATATGACATTTAAATCCGGTTGATCGGGTACAAACATTACAGTAAATAAAGATAAAACGTTATTTATAAACTCAAATTTTCGAATCCGAATCGTCGCGGAATATACTTTTCTCACACATAACACTATTATATTCCTGTACGTACCGAATTACTTTATTTAAATATAATAATTCACCGTTCGAATTTTTTCTTTGTTTCCCGTCACATCTAGTTTGTGTGGAAACAAGAGAGCAAATGTTGGAGCAGTCGCTAGTTCTGGCGACTAAAATAAAATGCAACAGTTCACACCGTAAACAAGGTCATTGTCGAGGCGACGAATAATCTAGTTTCGTATCAATGCTACTTATGTACACTTACATTTTTAAAGATAAGAGTAGCGTGCACGTATAATTCATTATCAAATGAATCATAACATAAAATAATGAGTTTATACAATTAAATAATTTGTAAAAAATTTTTTTATCTCATAAATACTCAGCTATTTTCTAGTGAGATACTCAACTATTTCCTATTATATATAAAAACAAAATCTATGTGGCTTTATTGTGCTCGAAAAATATCTTTTATTGAAAATCGTTTGCACCACGGGACCTAATTACTATTATAGCTCGAGCGAGACGCGGTCACTCACGTTTCACCCATATGCACTCGCTTTCATAAAACAGCTACAAGACAATAATAGCCCACCTAGGTCTCTTAGTACATAATCTAGTATCAATAAGTTTCAACTCTACATTACTGATCACTACCTTGACCTCGATTTGTGATAAATCGTTAATACATCTCTTTAAAGATATTCGTTTGATACTTTAACGAAAATATCTTATTACAATTGACATTATCAAAAGTTCAGTAACGCAAGGTGAGGTAAAGTGGGAAACCAAGAAAAAATGTCTTAAATGTTTTCTCTACAGCCATAATAATCCAGCCATTAGGCATAACCTGTAGTATATAATCAATCGTATGTACCTCGGAACTTAAGCAGGCTATTATTGCCTTGGACAGCTGAAGTTTACACATACCATCATTTCTTATTCTTAATCAATTAAATAATATTCTACGAAGACCTAGAATTAACAACATAACAGCAATTCCAATAGCAAACTCTAGATGTCCGTGTATTGTAGACTCTAAGTTTAAGAAATTTTAACTTCTAATATTTCATTAATAATAATATAATTCTTACCTTTTTCATCACAGATACATGGCCCAATAAATATCGCTTTCTGGGAATTTAATATTCCTACATAAAACCTTCAAGGAAGTTTGCAAATAATGTTTTTGTTTTTTAAGAACGCTCATCTTGTTTAGTATTTCTATGTTATCAGGGCAATGCGTAAGCTGTAGTTCTAGTTTTTCTATTTCAAAAACTACTTTTTTAATTTCACTCACCAAAAAATTTTGTTCTCTTAAACACAAATTATTATGATTCATACCTAATTATTTATTATGGAAAACTTTCAGATACGAACGATAGCAAAATATTATGAAGACTAAAACTGAAACCAGCTGGCCTTTCTTTTATACCCACACGCCAGACATATCGATCTAGTCAGTATAGACACCACGGTTACTGTTAAGTGCTATGCCGAATAACCTAAGGTTCATTTTATCTTATCAAACTTCTGAAAATTTTAGATTAAGCATTGTTTTTTTGCTGTCTTTCATTATTTATACAATTCAAATCTGAAAATTCAGTCGGAAGATAGGGTGCTTTTATGAAGGAGGATGCTCGAGCTAACAAGATCCATTTATTTTTTAACGTGGAATTTGCTGTGATCATAACAAAGAAAAAATTTATGTGAAATCTGGAAAGTTTGGGCAAAATGTCGAGTTAGCAAGGTAGCTGTTAAAATAGGGATATTTTGAGTTAGTGACAAAGTTACTAACTTTATATATTCCTATTATGCGAAGTTACTGACTATGTGACATAAATGAAAGCAGACTTTCTTTGTAACAATTAAATCGTTAAGGACGCAGAAAGTTACATATCAAAATACATAGAAGCTTGACTTTCAATCTTTGGAAGATTGAGGGAAATTTTTCTTTTTTAACTCATCTATAGTACTGTACTATGTAGATTTCTGGTGTCTGTCTGTCTGTTCATGGTAATCTCCAAAACGGCTCATCCAATTGTGACCAAATTTTGCAGATATGTACAAGGTGTTGCCGGGAAAGTTATGGATTTTTTTTGTCTACAAAAATTATTTACAATGATTGGATTTGTTATAAACAATTGAGATTGGGTTCTATGCAAGATATTTGAGTTTTTTAATTATTCGTTATTATCGTTCAACAATCAATTCTTACCTTTTTCAATCATTAAAAAATCATTCTACTTCTGATACTTTAAATAATAATTTTATTTTGTTACAATTAATAGATTATTATATACTTTTTTTTATTAGTTAGATGTTATAATATACTTATCTAGCGTTAAATATTAGTTATTAATGTACAAAATCGTTTCCCTTCATTAATAGAAAATTATGAGCGCAAAAGAGAGGACACTTTAGGGAGTTTAACGTAAAAGAAAGTAATAAATAAAGTGGCTAATCCGTAACTTCGTTAATAATCAATGTAAAATTTTTATTCTACACTTCATCAAAAGCTTATCATCATTAGTGTTGACCTACTAAATAAGAGAGCATGATATGCAGTAGCTACAGAGATATTTACATGTAAGGTTCATTAGTGACGTCATTTCATAAAGTAGTCGGTGGCCTCAGTACACATAGAAGA